TAAAATCTTCAATAATTCTGAAAGTTGTGCTGTGTAATTTCAGTAAAATCTTCAATAATTCTGTCAGTTGTGCCGTGTAATTTCAGTAAAATCTTCAATAATTCTGTCAGTTTCTGAAAGTTCTGCTGTGTAATTTCAGTAAAATCTTCAATAATTCTGTCAGTTGTGCCGTGTAATTTCAGTAAAATCTTCAATAATTCTGTCAGTTGTGTCGTGTAATTTCAGTAAAATCTTCAATAATTCTGAAAGTTCTGCTGTGTAATTTCAGTAAAATCTTCAATAATTCTGTCAGTTGTGCCGTGTAATTTCAGTAAAATCTTCAATAATTCTGTCAGTTGTGCCGTGTAATTTCAGTAAAATCTTCAATAATTCTGTCAGTTGTGCCGTGTAATTTCAGTAAAATCTTCAATAATTCTGAAAGTTCTGCTGTGTAATTTCAGTAAAATCTTCAATAATTCTGTCAGTTGTGCAGTGTAATTTCAGTAAAATCTTCAATAATTCTGTCAGTTGTGCCGTGTAATTTCAGTAAAATCTTCAATAATTCTGTCAGTTGTGCCGTGTAATTTCAGTAAAATCTTCAATAATTCTGAAAGTTCTGCTGTGTAATTTCAGTAAAATCTTCAATAATTCTGTCAGTTGTGCAGTGTAATTTCAGTAAAATCTTCAATAATTCTGTCAGTTGTGCAGTGTAATTTCAGTAAAATCTTCAATAATTCTGTCAGTTGTGCCGTGTAATTTCAGTAAAATCTTCAATAATTCTGTCAGTTGTGCCGTGTAATTTCAGTAAAATCTTCAATAATTCTGAAAGTTGTGCTGTGTAATTTCAGTAAAATCTTCAATAATTCTGTCAGTTGTGTCGTGTAATTTCAGTAAAATCTTCAATAATTCTGTCAGTTGTGCCGTGTAATTTCAGTAAAATCTTCAATAATTCTGTCAGTTGTGCCGTGTAATTTCAGTAAAATCTTCAATAATTCTGAAAGTTCTGCTGTGTAATTTCAGTAAAATCTTCAATAATTCTGTCAGTTGTGCCGTGTAATTTCAGTAAAATCTTCAATAATTCTGAAAGTTCTGCTGTGTAATTTCAGTAAAATCTTCAATAATTCTGTCAGTTGTGCCGTGTAATTTCAGTAAAATCTTCAATAATTCTGTCAGTTGTGCCGTGTAATTTCAGTAAAATCTTCAATAATTCTGAAAGTTCTGCTGTGTAATTTCAGTAAAATCTTCAATAATTCTGTCAGTTGTGCCGTGTAATTTCAGTAAAATCTTCAATAATTCTGTCAGTTGTGCCGTGTAATTTCAGTAAAATCTTCAATAATTCTGAAAGTTCTGCTGTGTAATTTCAGTAAAATCTTCAATAATTCTGTCAGTTGTGCCGTGTAATTTCAGTAAAATCTTCAATAATTCTGAAAGTTGTGCTGTGTAATTTCAGTAAAATCTTCAATAATTCTGTCAGTTGTGTCGTGTAATTTCAGTAAAATCTTCAATAATTCTGTCAGTTGTGCCGTGTAATTTCAGTAAAATCTTCAATAATTCTGTCAGTTGTGCCGTGTAATTTCAGTAAAATCTTCAATAATTCTGTCGTGTAATTTCAGTGTCAGCCGTGTAATTTCAGTAAAATCTTCAATAATTCTGTCAGTTGTGCCGTGTAATTTCAGTAAAATCTTCAATAATTCTGAAAGTTCTGCTGTGTAATTTCAGTAAAATCTTCAATAATTCTGTCAGTTGTGCCGTGTAATTTCAGTAAAATCTTCAATAATTCTGTCAGTTGTGCCGTGTAATTTGTGCAATAATTCTGAAAGTTCTGCTGTGTAATTTCAATAAGTAAAATCTTCAATAATTCTGTCAGTTGTGCCGTGTAATTTCAGTAAAATCTTCAATAATTCTGTCAGTTGTGCCGTGTAATTTCAGTAAAATCTTCAATAATTCTGTCAGTTGTGCCGTGTAATTTCAGTAAAATCTTCAATAATTCTGTCAGTTGTGCCGTGTAATTTCAGTAAAATCTTCAATAATTCTGTCAGTTGTGCCGTGTAATTTCAGTAAAATCTTCAATAATTCTGTAAGTTCTGCTGTGTAATTTCAGTAAAATCTTCAATAATTCTGTCAGTTGTGCCGTGTAATTTCAGTAAAATCTTCAATAATTCTGTCAGTTGTGCAGTGTAATTTCAGTAAAATCTTCAATAATTCTGTCAGTTGTGTCGTGTAATTTCAGTAAAATCTTCAATAATTCTGAAAGTTCTGCTGTGTAATTTCAGTAAAATCTTCAATAATTCTGTCAGTTGTGCCGTGTAATTTCAGTAAAATCTTCAATAATTCTGTCAGTTGTGTCGTGTAATTTCAGTAAAATCTTCAATAATTCTGTCAGTTGTGCCGTGTAATTTCAGTAAAATCTTCAATAATTCTGTCAGTTGTGCCGTGTAATTTCAGTAAAATCTTCAATAATTCTGTCAGTTTTGGCTTGTTATTTCAGTAATGTCTCCAATAATTTTGTGAGGTACCAGGTACACGATAAATGTTTACTTTTGTTAATGTTGATTCCTGATTGAAGTGACACCATCAATCTTGACTTCAGTAAAGTTGTTTACCAATTTAAAGTGACATGACTTCCTAGTACGCGATCAATCATGACTTTAAAATAAAACCCCAGCAGTCTTCATGCAATATGGATGTAACCAAGGATGGGGTGGTGACAGTTTAAGGCACAATATATTTCAACACCACCAAATATGTATGATTACTTTCAAATTGATGGAAAAGATTTCCGAAAGTTAGGCTATTAGCTGATTGGAGGAAGCATACATATAATGTACATTGTATGAATATATCCTTGAGTAATCTACGTGGTAAACTTTAGACAAAAAAAGTGAAAGTGCCTGAAATATAACGTTACAAATATTTCTGACCAAGCTGCATTCACAACAATCAACTATTATATGGTTTAAAAACATATCTATTTGTAACTCACAAAAAAAATATGATACAAATATAATTATGAACATCAACCAGCAGATCTAGAATGTAAAAATCTATATAAAGATAATATTAATAGGGTAAAAATCATTCTTTCAAGAAAATGTGATATTAACCAGAAAGTGACATTAATTTGCATATCTGATATGATATTATATGATGTAATTATATTTAATGTATAGAATATTAATAGGAATAAAGAAATAATTAACATATACTCTGAAATCATATATTTTCGTGGAGCTTACATTTTATGGTTTTCCAACAAGAGGCCTAGCGACCTTGCTGATCACCTGAGATAAGCAATATTGATTTTAAAGGTTAAAGGATAAGTAGCTTTCAAGTGTCATGAAAAAGAAATTGTGACATTGATGATAGTCAGTCAGTGTCAATACCTGCATACCATCAAAACTGTCATCCTTTACTAATAACAATTCTTACAAAATTATTTCCAATTTTGCTTAAAGATGCAATTTTTCTGTGAAAATTACAGTAAAATCAACTTCCTTCGATCTCCTTTGGTAATTAAAGCACCTTAAGAGGATTCCATCAATGAAGGCATTTTATTCTACCATACCTGGACCAGCCCATCAGCCCCTGGGGGTCAGCCAGGATCACAAAGGGTTCCAATGGAAGAGTAAAACACCTAAAGATGCCTCCATCAATGAAGGCATTTTATTCTACCATATCTGGGTGTTGAGAAGATTTGTGAAATCCTAGTCAATCTGCCCACTTATAGCCCTGCCCCTCAGACCCCTGCCCCTCAGGGCCCTGTGGGATGGGGACCATATAATTCATTATTTTGTTCATCTTTGGCCAGGGAAAGTTTCTGCAAAATTTCTTTGAAACCAATTCAGAGTTTTTTGAGAAGAAATTGATTGATGCCAGAAGTGATCCCTATTGATCATCATCAGATTTTTCGCAGCTGACCTAAAATGGCACTCTCCTTGTTTATTTCATAGATATATCTTGCTCACAAACCCCACTGTATGTACTACTATAATCCATATACTGTGTATGGTGAACAAGTAAATGTGTGAATTTAGAGTACCCCTGAATTCAAGGAATATGAATTTCATGATTTTATAGTAGAGATTTGAAACAGGACGTAAGAATTATTTGTGAGATGAGATTTGTAATAATGACAACATTATCCTGAACAATGGCCCACCAGATATACAAAAATTGTAATTCACTGTAGGATTTTATTTTCGATACAAGTACCCTGTTGACGGTGAAATAATACCCTGTACATATTATCTTATATCATACATGTAATATAACATAGCAGTACTGTGAATGAGTGAAGGTTAAATTTCCATTACACACTATCCTAAAAACTTGAAAATAAGATGTGGCTAATTTCTATAATAATAAGAAAATACAAGCTTAATTTCTGGATAAGGTTCTATTTGTAGTTTGCTCGTTTTCAAGTTTTCAGAGTATCACTGATCGGTAAAATGAAATAAAAAAGCATTTTTCTGCAAAAATTCTCTATAAGCATATCTTTTCAATACTGTGTATAACCATATATTTCAAAATATTATTAATTGATAAGTTATTTAAATCTTAATACCAATAGGCAGTTTTCCAACAAAAGATACCACGTACAGAGGTCAAAGATGTACCCAGTTCAAGTGTAAATATCCAGGAGGGAATACAACCAATGCCGTACTTCTTGTGGTGTTGGTTCTGTTATCCCTAGCTTGGATACTTCCAGGTATGCCGGGCGATTGAAAAGTAGTCGGAACTAAAAGGTAAAAATCAATTGCATCAAGCTCAGGATGATAAGAGTAGTGTATTTTTACTATATATTTACTGGTTTCGCCCCGAGGACTTGATCAGGACAGGATCATCCTCAGCTCGTTGTGATTGAGATTTTTACCTTTCAGTTCAAGTGTAATATATTTGCAAATCAACCCAAGCTCCTACATATGGAACTGGCTCTATTCTCTGTATGAAAAAATAAGCTTACACTGTGGAGATAATTGTGTATTAACAGGGCGATACATATGTATAAAAACTGTATCTGATACTTGAAACTACCACAAGTTGTGTATTCTTTTTTATCTAGTTGAATTTCATAGGCTGTCTCTGCCTTTATAAAGTGTATAGGATAATGTACTGATGACTTTTTGAAATCACACAAATATTCCTGATCTTTGCTTTATTTGGGGTAAATTTGCAAACTTTTAAGCTCAGGGAAATTTTTTTTATTTGCTGTAAATGTGTGTGAAAATATTACTGAGCATAAACAGAGCTAAAAGATATAACCAGACACTGAACATCACATACAAACACTATATAAACTTAATTAAAAATCAGCAAAGATGAAATTAAATGTAAATTATTCAGAAGTAAGTACATAGTCAGCAAACTACAATGTATATGTAAACAATTAAAAAAAAAACAACACTACATACAATAACAGTTTCAATTAGAAACTATAAACTAAACATCTAGAAATGTAAATACACCAAACCTGATCATCAATTCTCACTCATATATTACCAATAGTCCTGGAACATTTTAATGGGTTTTTGGTGTAGTTACCTTTCTGTTTTAATTAATAGGACATCAAGTGCTTTGAATCTTGAATGAAAATACCTTAAAACACATTTTATTGTCTTGTAATATATATGCATGTGATTAACTTGAAAATTAATTTTAATGAAATGATTAATGTTAATAGACAAATAATACATTGAAGGTCAGATCTATGTTTCCAATTTGATAGTCGTATTATACAAATTCTAGTAATAGTTACATTATACAAATCTTTTTGGATAGTTACATGATACAAAATGAAGTCATATTTAGTTCCAGTTTTTCAAAGGCAAAAATACATCCGCTAAACAGGGACGTTCTAGATTTTACAAAGAATGGTGAGATTTGTGCAAGGTAAATATCTTCTCTACATCCTTATATGTCATGAAAAAAACATCTTGTTTACCATTGTCTCTGCGATAACAATAAAGTGACTCTGTTGGTAAAATTGATATACTTCAACTTTGATTTAGATGTAGTACCTCTGTAATTTTTCATGTACAGAAATTTGTTGTGCTATACATGGTTTCCAGTAAGCTTTTATTTTTTTTTCATATGGAACTAAGAACTAACCTAAAGTTTAGGTGGGACACCATAAAGGTATCAACACTTTTTCAACTCATATCACTGATAAGATCTAAAGTTCGTGAAGTGTGGTACGCAGACATTTTCCAGGTATATTTTTTTTTTTTTTTTTTTTCAAAACTGTAATAAGACAGAAACAAAAATAGAAAATAAAATTAAAATTTCAACTAATAGTGATTCTACCACACCTACACAAACTTAAATAATGGCAAGTTGATTCTACCACACCTACACAAACTTAAATAATGACGTTAGTGGTGTAGAACAGGTCTGCATAATGAAGATTATAAACACATACTAAATCAACTACATGACCTTGGGATCCACCACTATTCCAAACTAATTCTTTTCAAAAATATATAAATTCCTCAAATTTTCTTTGAAGTAAAGCATATCATCTATAACTGAACCCTCATGACTCTGTATTAAAAGTCTACGTTTGAAACGGCACGATGATTTTTCATTGCCCATGCCATCCAGTCCAACTGGGTAAGCAATTTGTTTGCACCAGATTCCATGTGTTCATTGAGCGGGTTTCCTTCAGAATCTAGAGATTTCTGGGCAGAAGGTATACCAAATATATTGGACACGCTGAGACATCCTAGTTCTCCAGTCAGTGCTCTTAGTTGCATGGCTGCACGCATCCCTCCATATTGCCCTGTTTTTAAAAAAAACAAACGATGAAATTTGGCAAGGATGGAAAGTCTAACAAGGACATAGTCATCAAAATCCCTCCCCCTGGTGGACTAAAAATAGAATAGATTACAATACAACTTAATTCTATTGTAATACATTCCTATATTCATGTTTTACAGAGATCAGTGGGAAACAGGTATCTCTAGTTTGAAACTGTTTAAATTACGAAGAAAAGGAAAAAAAAGTCAATTCAAAAGTTCTAAAAAAACCCTCATAATTATGCACCACTTACCTGCTGAGTATGTGACAAGGCCACTTGGTTTCTTGGAGAAACAACTGCCTCCAAAATGGTCAATCATGTTTGAGAGACCTGGTGGTATACAGTGGTTGTATTCAGGGGAGATAATCACATAGGCATCTGCTTCCTTGACAAGTTTCTCCTTCTCCACCAGAAATGGTGGAGCTCCTTCTCTATCTTTACCATAAAAAAACACTGGTTTATTCAGCATACTAAATTCGTTATCAGCTGCATCTGCAAGAAAAATGTTTGAAATGTAACATTAATTTTGATAAACAGAAAAACAAAATAACATATGCTCAGATGATTTTGCTCAAAGCTGTTGGCAAACACCTCAATCTGTAAGTAAAGTCATGAAATTGATTATCTGCTTCATACTGAAGGTTAAACCAAAGTTGACCATCTTTATCAAAGGTCTCCACCTCTGTGTCAGGAGTTCACGACCAACGTGGGCCAGTCAGTATAACTATTGGCCGCAGGTAGGTGTTTTCACTCTGAGAACTTCCGCTTTCCTCCACCATCCAAACCTGATACATCCTTGTTCATAGGGTGTAAAGAAATAAGAAACAAAGCAAAAAAATCAACTAACTTTTTGACAATTAGACTTGTAGTAATGGAATCTGGTTGGAAAAGGAGATATTTCTACAATTTCTATAATGCCGTACATGTTCATCAATAAACAACACTGATGTTGGTATGTACATCAATGAACAACACTGATGTTGGTATGTACATCAATGAACAACATTGATGTTTGTGTGTACATCAATAAACAACACTAATGTTTGTATGTACATCAATAAACAACATTGATGTTGGTATGTACATCAATAAACAACACTGATGTTTGTATGTACATCAATAAACAACATTGATGTTTGTGTGTACATCAATAAACAACACTAATGTTTGTATGTACATCAATAAACAACATTGATGTTGGTATGTACATCAATAAACAACACTGATGTTTGTGTGTACATCAATAAACAACATTGATGTTGGTATGTATATCAATAAACAACACTGATGTTTGTATGTTCATCAATAAACAACATTGATGTTGGTATGTACATCAATAAACAACATTGATGTTGGTATGTACATCAATAAACAACACTGATGTTTGTGTGTACATCAATAAACAACACTGGTGTTTGTGTGTACATCAATAAACAACATTGATGTTGATATGTACATCAATAAACAACACTGGTGTTTGTATGTACATCAATAAACAACACTGATGTTTGTGTGTGCATCAATTAACATTGATGTTTGTATGTACATCAATAAACAACACTGATGTTTGTGTGTGCATCAATTAACATTGATGTTTGTATGTACATCAATAAACAACACTGATGTTTGTGTGTACACCAATAAACAACATTGATGTTTGTATGTACATCAATAAACAACACTGATGTTTGTGTGTGCATCAATTAACAACATTGATGTTTGTATGTACATCAATAAACAACACTGATGTTGGTATGTACATCAATAAACAACACGAATATATATCTTCAATACTTTTTTCTCCCACAGAGCGTAATTCATCATGACAGATGGCTAGTATCATGACTTTTATTTCTGAAATAAAATACAACATCTTAACTAACAAAAGATAGCTACAGTCAGTGGCACCTATAAAACACAGGCTGCTTAAGATCGGATTCCATGATAGTGAAAGTCTGGAAAACACCTAAGAAATGACCTCCTTTGATGGTAATTAGTGCATAACTAGAAACAGATCTTATGGTGCACTTGTGATAATTTGGTACAAAACTGGGCTACACCAGATTCTTCTAATCCTGGAATATACAACACAGATATCAGTAACTTTCACAGTGCCAAATGTACTAGACTCCTACAAAAGTCACTATATATCATGTAACGTATCTGTATTTAGCACCTGTGCATCAGCATTTTGGTATATTTGAAACCATGGTAAATGTGATACTAGCCACTCAACAAGAGAGATTTTTTTTATTTTTGCTTGATTGGAATCGGTTGAGCATAATACTAGGTTTAGCCAAATATCCTGGGTGTTTGAATCGCATCACAGGCATTTTGCAATAAAAGACTTGTTACATATATATACATGTGGAATGAATTTTGCATGTTCTACATTGTCACCAGTTACATTGGTATCATATGAACAAGCCTTTGTGTAAACAACAATAATTAGGTATTCTATTTAATCACCCGTCCTTATTCCACATGGCCCCAACATGCACGTCAGGAGGCACAAACTGGCCCCAACTTGCATGTCAGGAGGCACGAATTGGAACTAACGTGCATGTCTGGAGGCACAAACTGGCCCCAACTTGCATGTCTGGAGGCACAAACTGGAACTAACGTGCATGTCTGGAGGCACAAACTGGCCCCAACTTGCATGTCTGGAGGCACAAACTGGAACTAACGTGCATGTCTGGAGGCACAAACTGGCCCCAACTTGCATGTCAGGAGGCATGAACTGGAACTAACGTGCATGTCTGGAGGCACAAACTGGCCCCAACTTGCATGTCAGGAGGCATGAACTGGAACTAACGTGCATGTCTGGAGGCACAAACTGGCCCCAACTTGCATGTCAGGAGGCACGAATTGGTCCTAATATGCATGTCAGGATTCACGAACTGGCCCTAACGTGCACGTCTGGAGCCATGAACTGACCCTAACGTGCACGTCAGGAGCAACAGGCTTACTGGTTCTATATACTGTAAACATTCAAAGCACTACATCTACAAAATTTAAAAAAAAACCATTTTTCATATCTAGGTCTCAGATAGTCATGTAAATAAATCACCTAAATGTAATCATGTTCGGTCTGCAATTTAAACAGAGTGTTTACATACGTATACTAGGCCTACATATGCATTGCTGCACATCATTCTACATATTCACCCGGCCTATCAACAAAGCCTTGTCACCTTGTAGAGAAAAGGAAACTATGTTTACCGTTAAAAGATTAAACTTACGGCACAAGAGAATAGAAATTCTAGGTTATCTTGGTCTATAATTCATAATATTATATGAAATGGCTTAAGATTATGATCAGCATCAGTAGTGTAAAACCACAAGTTCTAATTAACGTATCCTCTAATCCGACAGACCCAACTTACCAATAACACTAATATCATATTGTCTGGATTCCAGTTGCTTCACCATAAACTGCTTCACTCTTTCTCCAAGTCTTCCATCCCTTGCCGACCCGACAAACATAACAATTTTCAGATTCGATGATGTTTTGGTAGAAGTCATTCTTAACGCCTCTACGTATGCTCTGTACATTACTTGTCACGAATGACACCTTCAACCACTACCGCCTTCACAGACCTTGAGTTGTCTACCTTGTTTAGCGGTAAAGGGGTTAAAAATAGGAATGAACAACTGACCAATTGAAAGATATGTATAGCGTTTCATTTTAAACTAATAAGAACTCTATGCATGTCACAACAGATATAATACGTGATGACGTTAAATTATATTTTTTAAATGTAGACCTTCAACGAACGAGTTATTTGCCCTTCAAAGAACTCTTTTTGCTAAACAAAAAAATCTGTCAAACGCTACACACGTGGACTAAGACCACAATTAATTTCACTATATGTTTCATTGTAACATTAAAATTCATAACTAAGTCCCAAAGTTTCATCTGCAAATTTCCATTTCACCTGGCCAAGATCAACATCTGAGAAGCAAAATGTAAAAGTTTCAACCCATCATGTTGGGCATTTTCTGGAGATATACCTCCATATGTGTCACCAACGTCAATTATATACATCCGGGTCAGGGGTAAAGGTGAAAACAGGACTTTTTACACCGGATCCTGCAGCACAAAATACATGTTCAATATGAATGATTTACACACTGACAATTAGATTATCATCTCTATAACACATCTACAGCAAATTTATAGGCAAACATCCAATTCAAAGAGGCATATTATTTTTTTCCCAAATATACATACATTTTTTAGGGACTTCATTCATGGGTACTGAACCCGGAAGTATTTAATTGTGGTCTTAGTCCTATTATAGGACACTTTCTTTTTTTTTTAATTTAAAAAAAACTATTTTCATCAACTGTGAGCTATTTCAAACATTTTGGTGTAAACAGAACCAGCGTAGGTCAAACAAAACAGGAGTTATGAAGAATTGAAAAACCACTATCAGACTGAGATTTTAACTCTGTTTTCATACACTTTGCTGTACATATCACAGACACCAAGCGTCAGGAAAAATGAAACAGATTTTGAAATTATTAAGATATTTCAGTTCTGTAAATTGGTATATAAACTTGAATAATTCCTACATGTACCTATACAAAAAAGTTTTTCAATTTCAAATTACAACTTCATTTTTTTTGTAGAATTTTAATTTTGTTTTTTTAAATTACAAAATTTTAATATTAACTGAACATTTAATCTGCTTTAAAGCATTTTTCAGCTTTGATTTGGACATAAAATAATCAATAGATAACAGTAAAGACTTGCAGTAAACAATCACAGTGAATGACACCCATTGGACTGACTTACAGCCACATGTATACATACACAGACTATCCATGCCAAAGGCAGGGGAGGGGGGGTGTTCTCTTTGGGCCTTTCTGTTTACTTATGGGGCTCTCCCTGTTTCTGAAACACCTTTGATGTTATATTATCAAACAGGCAATGATGTGTATATCACAATGACCAATCAAATGGTCAGCTTCAGTTTGATTTTTGTATTCTTAATACATCTGACTACTTCTGACTGACCACTGCTGACCACTACTGACCACTACTGACTATTACTGACCATTACCAATATGAAGGGAGACAGAAAGAGAAGGAACAATTATTTCAAGCCTGGAAATGTTCCAAAGAATAAGGGCCAGGCATTTAAAGATGAAGATCCTGAAGTACCTGTCACCAGAGAAGAGAGACCAGCTCTGACCAGAAGACTGACCACCCAGGAATTTCAGCTGATCACCAAGCCTAGTCCTGATGGCCTTTCCCTAGCATCAGATACTGGAGACAGACCATGTCCAACACGGATACTACGGCCAGCAACTGCTACAGCTGAAGAATCCAACTCTGAGCCTGTAATAGAAGGAAACCGGATCATCGACATAGTGTTGATGGTGAAAATGTGGAACGACATCATCAGACTTCATGCTGGACAACCTAACACTACATCATGCATGGTACCAGAGTTTGAACTGGACACCAAGCGGAAAAGGGCTCTGGGATGGAGTTGTGCTGTCCGATGTAATAAATGCCAGTACAGATCTCCACTGTATAAACTATATAGAGAGGCAGACACGGATAAGCCCAGACCAAAGCCTGCCCTTGTAAACAAGTACCTGCCTTCAGCTTTGTGTGGCCAGGCTATTAGCACCAAAGGAGCCAGGTTACTTCTCGGACACCTGAATATACCTGCAGGAGCCAAGAGTGGAATGCAGCGACAGGCAAATCAAGTGTCCAAGGACATTACTGCCCTCAACAAAAAGGACATGTCCGAGAAGACCAGACTGGTGGTGGAGGCCAACACCCTGAGAGGAGATGATTCCCCAAGCACCATCGGACCAGCTTTGGATGGGCGGTACAACAGCACATCATTTGGAAGTGCTAAGAAGCCAGGGATGAATGCCTCACATGGGTTAAGTCTGAGTATCGAGACATCTACCCCTAAGAAGTGGATACTTGGACGTGCCCTCCACAACAAACTTTTCTGGACAGGTGCTTGGCTGAGAGGGAAAGGATATGATGTCACCTGTCCTGGTGGTCATCCTGACTGCACAGCCAACACTGACCGATACAACGGCTTGTCTGAGTATGCCATGGAAAAGGACATTGGGGATCAACTGGCTAGACAAGGCGTGCTAATAAAATATGCAACCACAGATGGAGATGGAACTGGAGCCCAAGGCCTGGAGGAAGCCGTGAGAGCCTTACATCCCATGTGGAAAGTGGAGAGACTGGCTGACCCAACCCACCTAGGCAGAGCACAGTTCCGGAAATGTAACAGTGCTAAGTAGAGCGAGCCAATGTTTCCTGGTCATACCAGACTGATGAGGTCTCAGGCTCAGAAGGTATTTTCTCAAGACTTGAAAGCCCGGAGCAGTCTGATTTTCAAGGAATTGATGAAAATTCACTCCAGAAACATTGAGACTATCACGACTCATTTACCTGCAGTGTTAGATGCTACTGTATCCTGCTACACAGGTGACTGCTCTAAGTGCAAGCAGCATTCCGTGGTGTGCTCTGGTGGTGACAGCGACAACTGGTGGGTGCGATCAATGGTCCCGAGTTTGAACCAGATCCATCAACTTCGAATGACATCGGAGGACGAGATGTTGGTGTTGGAGCTTCTGAAAATGAAACTCAGCACTGATGTTATTCAATCTATGAGACTCAGCACATCTACACAGAAGAATGAGGGTTGTCACAGAAGCCTGAATGTGTCCTTACCAAAACATCAGAATTTTGGAAGAAATGCTGAGGGGAGGTTAGACAACGCCATTCTGACCCTAAACAACACTGCAGGGAAAGCCATTCAAAAGAAGGTTGAACACTTTGTTGGTACTCTGAGTAGGGAGGTCAAACATAAACTTGATCAACTCAGCTCAGAGGAAATATATCAATGCCAGCACCAATACAAACCTGCTGTCAAGAAAAGAAGTATGTTGTTGTTAGCAGAACAGCACAAGCAGCATGCGAAAAGGTCCAGGTCCGCTCGGAAGTCTGACTACAGGAGAGGTCAGCTAGATCCCAACATCCATCTATGTAGGGGAGACAACCGACCTCAGGACCACCTGTATTGAGAAGAAGAGGTCACAACAAATTTATTAGAGACATGTCAACAATCAGAAAAAAAACCCAAAATAATGTAATAACAACAGCAACAACAACAAAATATATGACTACCTACTGAGGGAACCTCCATGTGGTGGTAGTCGGACAATGTTGTATACATCAGTGTACAATAGCTAATACCCTCAAATCAATAAAAACTTAATTAAATTTTCAAATCCAACATGCAGTCACTGAACCCTAAATGACCATAACACACATTTGAATTTAAACAGTATTGCCTATTATTATTTATAAAATGAGGTTCTGAACTGCTCTACATTTACACATTGACTATTATGACAGAGATGGTCCAGATCACTTGACAATTCTAAATTTTCAGAAAAACAAATAAAAGCAAGTCTGTGTGCATGTTTCTTTTTCCATTTTAAATCACTGGGGTCCTTAAATGACAGAATTCCATATTTTCCTGTCCTTGTTACAGGTTCAATCCAAATCCTACACAAGCCATTATCTGGGCTAACCACAGAATTTTCTAAGATCTTGTACTTGTATAATTTGAAAAAATCCTCCATCTTAACTTTTAAAAATCAGGCGTAGGAATACACAAGAACACAAATATGCTAATTTGATGTTATTTATAGATGTCCTGATCACTCCAGAAAATAAAGTTTAAAAATTTTTAAAAATTTTTAATTTAATTAAAATTTTAATTATAATTGAAGTGATAAATTAAAAATTAATTCACTACCTAATCAGTCTTACAATATAGAACAACCATGCCAATTTGTATGAGAATTGGTAAAAAAATGTGGGTATAAGAAATAAAAACATGGATTTTTAGGCATGTCATTAAGGACTAAGACCACAGTTAATTTCACTATATGTTTCATTGTAACATTAAAATTCATAACTAAGTCCCAAAGTTTCATCTGCAAATTTCCATTTCACCTGGCCAAGATCAACATCTGAGAAGCAAAATGTAAAAGTTTCAACCCATCATGTTAGGCATTTTCTGGAGATATACCTCCATATGTGTCACCAACGTCAATTATATACATCCGGGTCAGGGGTAAAGGTGAAAACAGGACTTTTTACACCGGATCCTGCAGCACAAAATACATGTTCAATATGAATGATTTACACACTGACAGTTAGATTATCATCTCTAACACATCTACAGCAAATTTATAGGCAAACATCCAATTCAAAGAGGCATATTATTTTTTTTCCTAACATACACATATTTTTTAGGGACTTCATTCATGGGTACTGAACCCGGAAGTATTTGATTGTGGTCTTAGTCCACGTGTGATGCGTGCTTCTCTGAACTGCTGAATGACAAAGTACAATGAGTTAAAGGTATGTATATTTGTTGACTAGACCTATTACAAATAATCAACAAGTCGATCATATCACTGATATTGTTTGTTGCACTGACTTTTGGATTCTTATTCCTTGAGATCATGTCCACCATTGCTCGAAATAATGTCGCATATTATATGTATTTGTCTGTTAATAACTTCGGTCTTCAGTCTTATACTGTTAACCACAGGTGCATGTGATGAAAGTTCCTAAGATGTATATTCCGAATGACTTGTGAAGAAATGAAGATCAAGGTCAGGAATACACATCTTTATATGACCCTGACAGTAAACATGACTTTAGCTGACAGTAAATGTGACTTTAGCTGACAGTAAATGTGACTTTAGCTGACAGTAAATGTGACTTTAGCTGACAGTAAATATGACTTTGGCTGACAGTAAATGTGACTTTAGCTGACAGTAAATGTGACTTTAGCCGACAGTAAATGTGACTTTAGCTGACAGTAAATGTGACTTTAAGCTGACAGTAAACGTGGCTTTAGCTGACAGTAAATGTGACTTTAAGCTGACAGTAAATGTGACTTTAGCCGACAGTAAATGTGACTTTAGCTGACAGTAAACGTGACTTTAGCTGACAGTAAATGTGACTTTAAGCTGACAGTAAACGTGACTTTAGCTGACAGTAAATGTGACTTTAAGCTGACAGTAAACGTGGCTTTTAGCCGACAGTAAATGTGACTTTAGCCGACAGTAAATGTGACTTTAGCCGACAGTAAATGTGACTTTAGCCGACAGTAAATGTGACTTTAGCCGACAGTAAATGTGACTTTAGCTGACAGTAAACGTGACTTTAGCTGACAGTAAATGTGACTTTAAGCTGACAGTAAACGTGGCTTTTAGCCGACAGTAAATGTGACTTTAGCCGACAGTAAATGTGACTTTAGCCGACAGTAAATGTGACTTTAGCCGACAGTAAATGTGACTTTAGCTGACAGTAAACGTGACTTTAAGCTGACAGTAAATGTGACTTTGGCTGACAGTAAATGTGACTTTAGCCGACAGTAAACGTGACTTTAAGCTGACAGTAATTGTGACTTTAGCCGACAGTGCCGACAGTAAACGTGACATTCCACTGACAGTAAATGTGACTTTAGCCGACAGTAAATGTGACTTTAGCTGACAGTAAACGTGACTTTAGCTGACAGTAAATGTGACTTTAAGCTGACAGTAAACGTGGCTTTAGCTGACAGTAAATGTGACTTTAAGCTGACAGTAAATGTGACTTTAGCCGACAGTAAATGTGACTTTAGCTGACAGTAAACGTGACTTTAGCTGACAGTAAATGTGACTTTAAGCTGACAGTAAACGTGACTTTAGCTGACAGTAAATGTGACTTTAAGCTGACAGTAAACGTGGCTTTTAGCCGACAGTAAATGTGACTTTAGCCGACAGTAAATGTGACTTTAGCCGACAGTAAATGTGACTTTAGCCGACAGTAAATGTGACTTTAGCCGACAGTAAATGTGACTTTAGCTGACAGTAAACGTGACTTTAGCTGACAGTAAATGTGACTTTTTAAGCTGACAGTAAATGTGACTTTAGCCGACAGTAAATGTGACTTTAGCCGACAGTAAATGTGACTTTAGCTGACAGTAAACGTGACTTTAAGCTGACAGTAAATGTGACTTTGGCTGACAGTAAATGTGACTTTAGCCGACAGTAAACGTGACTTTAAGCTGACAGTAAATGTGACTTTAGCCGACAGTGCCGACAGTAAACGTGACTTTAAGCTGACAGTAAATGTGACTTTAGCCGACAGTAAACGTGACTTTAGCTGACAGTAAATGTGACTTTAGCTGACAGTAAACATGACTTTAGCTGACAGTAAACATGACTTTTAGCTGACAGTAAATGTGACTTTGGCTGACAGTAAATGTGACTTTGGCTGACAGTAAATGTGACTTAGGCTGACAGTAAACATGACTTTAGCTGACAGTAAACATGACTTTTAGCTGACAGTAAATGTGACTTTGGCTGACAGTAAATGTGACTTTAGCTGACAGTAAACATGACTTTTAGCTGACAGTAAATGTGACTTTGGCTGACAGTAAATGTGACTTTAGCTGACAGTAAACGTGACTTTGGCTGACAGTAAACATGACTTTGGCTGACAGTAAATGTGACTTTGGCTGACAGTAAATGTGACTTTAGCTGACAGTAAATGTGACTTTCCACTGATAGTAAAGAGGGTCAAAGGATCACATTTGATAAGTTTTGAACCTATTGACAATTTTTAATCATACACTTTCATATAACTGCATGGAAGTTGAAACATTCATTGTTAAACAGGCATATTTCTGGTCTAACATTCCCATCTGTATAGGATCCTAAATGTTTTGATGCTTTAATGAACATGCATAAATGTTGATACTTTCAGGTAATCTAATAGAGGCTTTGCTCTCTCCAGACATGGCAGCCTACAGACCCTCCTATCGACTGGATGGCAGATTTAGAAAGATGTACAGGAGTTTCAACACTTATGTCAGGATTTGTCATTTTTGTTGTGAGAGATCCATTAACATCAAACCTTTTCCTCCAAAAGAAAATCAGCTGCACACACCTTTGGATGACAACATGATCAGATTCTCTTGTAATGATATAGCTCATCAGGATAAAAAATGGCAGCATTACAAAGTTTCCTCTGAATGCACTATCAGAATCGGTAGAGTTGATATTGTTAAATCTATAAGGCTGTCAATTCTAGAAAAACAAATAACATCTGTGTTATGTTTCAATAACCTATCACAAACTACCTTTAAATATAATTCCATATTTTTTGTTAATTTGAGACATTTCTGTACTAGTGAGTTCAGAGTTAATAAAGACAAGATTGGAGAGGAAGCAGAGGTCAGGGGTCATCGTGGGAGTGTTAAACCTTTTGTAAATGAATGTAACCTTTTAACAGCTGTGAATGATGGTGACAACAGTCCAAACTGTAATACAGATCAGTATAGTGACCTTTGAAGAGTCCACTGCCAGCTTCTCCAGACAACACCGAACCTCTAGACAGTTATACAGATCAGTATAGTGACCTTCTGAAGAGTCCACTGCCAGCTTCTCCAGACAACACCGAACCTCTAGACAGTTATACAGATCAGTATAGTGACCTTCTGAAGAGTCCACTGCCAGCTTCTCCAGACAACACCGAACCTCTAGACAGTTATACAGATCAGTATAGTGACCTTCTGAAGAGTCCACTGCCAGCTTCTCCATTTATTATTGATTCCTATAATTTGGCACCTTTTGTGCCAAAGTCGGATGTACTTAAGTATCTGGTGCAATTGAATGTGAATCTTGGAGAGGTGGAAACAATACAACATGCTTCAAATAGCCTTGTGAAGCTAAACCTGGAGCAGGATGTGATGCCTGCGATGGTATACCTGAAGGAAGCTGGGATACGCGATGTCAAATTTGGAAAAATCATTGGTTGCTATCCTTTCATATTTGAGTATTTTGATGACGCAAAGGTAAACACAACAAAGATAAATACTGTTTTACACCTGTACTATTACAACAAAGATAAATACTGTTATACACATGTACTATTACAACAAAGATAAATACTGTTTTACACCTGTACTGTTACAACAAAGATAACTACTGTTTAACACCTATAC